TTTAGTTACTAGCTTACCTTGTTCTTATTACTCATTAGGTCATAATCCTGCTCTAGAATCCGTTTTAATGTGCTATCTGTATCAAGATCATCGCCTGGTTTCATACTGGCTCCAGATTGGCTACCACCACCCACTGTGTTCATCGTCACTTGTTTCACCCATGTAATCAGAACTACTCTCTGTATCCTTTTCTATGTTTATGTCCTATAAATTACAAATGTAATTCTTATAAACTTTTCTTACTTTCGCAGTCCTCGATCTGCAATATCATACGGATAAATTAAATCATGCGGTAAATTAAACCTTTCATAGCGCGGCAACGTTAAGAAAATTACACCCTCACAACACGATAGTCAATCAGCGTTACACATATTTTTCAAGTTATTGCTACTAACTCTTTCTGTTATTAAATTATAAAAGTTCTGAAACGTCCAAAATCAAATTTGTAACTTGAAAATGAAACTTACTTTTGTATAATAATCAGCGTGTTGGCCTGAACTGCCATCTTCGGAAATTCCGGTTGTAGATGATGCAGCTCGACTGCCACTGCTTCTCGCTCTACGACGAGGTTCTTGATGCTCTGTTTCGTTTCGATTAAGCGCTTTGACATCTTACAGCTTCTCTTTTAGCGTTTGTCCCAAGACAGATTCCAACCCTTACACAATGATAAAATATATTTATATTTCTTTAATGTGTACTTTAATATGATTTGTACAAGATTAAGTTCGCTAATGCTTTTCTAACTTGGAAGTGCATGAGGTATTCCACTGCTTTTCTACCTCTTAATGACATTAATGACATCAAGCATCTGCAAACAATTTTATAGTTAGTTTGAACTGCGAGTTTCCGTACGATAACAAAATTACTTATATCTACTTGTACATACAATATAAGCGTGTTTATTTCTATATTTCATAAATCTATAATTTGATGTAATTGTTCAAATACAGCTTTAGTAGGTTTTCTCTCTACTTTTGCAATCTATATCTCTTTCATATTGCAAGGATACTTTTTACTAAGTTCAAAATTAAATTTGCATTTTACACTTACCTATATTTTTGCACGTGAAATGTAGCCAGGTATTAGGCATAAACAAATCTGATAAATAAATTAAAAATAGGTTAAGCACGTTTCCCGTGTTGATGAACTATTACGTAATGCGTTCCGAAACCACCACATATTTTACGTCTCACCCCCACTCTCCGGCAGCTAAACGATGTACAGTTTTTCGCTTTTTTTTAGCGAAACCGTGATCTAACAAACGTTTTAATTAGTATAATGAGAACTAACAAACGATTCCGCATTGATTGACCACGGTTTGAATCGAAAATTGTAAAGAATTCTATATTTACCGGCTAAATTAACACTACAAATTATTTTCGTAATTACGTAAAAACTATTAACTAACAAACGTTCTAATTAGTTTAACAATCAATAACAAACGACTAACAATCGATTCGTAAAAAAAAAATGTCGTAAGTCGAAATTGTCCGGCTAACTTATATATGAGGTCTACTTTTATGGAAAATGTCGCCTATTCCTAATTTTATGGGGATGGCTACTATGGGGATAAAAATTAGAGGTTTCATGGGGTTCTATTGGTGTTCCTAATTAATGGGTGAATTTGGGGAGAGGGGAATAGACTTTGAGTCCGCGCAAAGCGCGGGCGAAAGATCTAGTCATACTATTATATAAAACCAGAGTGTTTGTCTGTCTGTCCGTCTGTCCGCAAACTACTCATTCGTTACTGGACCGAATTTTTAACAAAAGTATATGAAATAAGGGTAGAATTTCCCGGGGAATGCCATGATGTGTATAGTTTTTTGTTACCGATTTTCTGGAAACCGATTTTTCTAATTCTTCTAATTTTTCGGGAAATAATTGACCGAATCTCAAAGAATTACATATGAAACAGGGATAGAATTTTCCGGGGAGTGCTATCAAGTGTATAATTTTTCGTTACCGATCTTTTTGAAAGTTAGTATAAAAAATTTTTCGACAATTAATTGACCGTATCTTAAAGAATTGTATATGAAGTAGGGGTAAAATATATTTCCCGGGAATTGCCATAAAGTGTATAATTTTTTGTTACCAATTTTTTTGTTACCAATCTTTTTGAAAATCAGTTCCAAAATTTTTTCAATTTTTCCGGAATTAATTGACCGAATCTTAAAGAATTGTGTATGAACTAGGGATAGAATTTCCTGGGGAGTGCTATAAAGTATATAATTTTTTGTTACCGATCTTTTTGCATTTTTCCGGAAATAATTGACCGAAACTCAAAGAATTGTATATGAAGTAAGGGTACATTTTTTTTCCGGAGAGTGCGGGGTGAGGAAAAAAAAGAAGCAATAAATTTCGTCGCCGCGAATAAAAGCGTCCACCCGTTGAGTGATTTGGGGGTGGTATAATTTAAGCAATCCGGAGATTGCCAGAAATTTTTCGCTCCCGATTTTTTGGAAACCGGTTCCGAAATTCTTTAATTTTTCAATAATTGACCGAATCTTAAAAAATCTTATATGAAATAAGGGTAGAAAGAACTAAAGAATGTAATAGAAATTGAAAAATTGCTAATAGTAAAGGGGTTTCCGATTTCTGTAAAAAAAATGTACGTGATTGCTCCAATTTCCGCAAACTTTGAGATATCAAGCTAAATTTTTGTTATGGATAATTTTTATAGATAATTTTTTGTTACCGATTTTTTGGAAACCGGTTTGGAAATTATTCAAATTTTGAGAAATAATAAGTATTAATTGGCCAATTTTCTTGAAAACAATGCCAAAAGTCTTTTAATTTTTGAAGAATAAGTTTTATTTTTTATTAATGGATCAAATTTTCTTGAAACCAGTGCCAAAATTTTTTTAATTTTTTGTTGATAATCTTGATGAAACTGATACCAACAGATTACTAATTTTATGGGGATGGCTACCATGGGGTTGAAAATTGGAGGTTTCATGGGATTCTATTGGTGCTCCTAATTAATGGGTGAGTTTGGGGAGAGGGGAATAGAATTTGAGCCCGCGCGAAGCGCGGGCGAAAAATCTAGTAATAAATAATATTATAAACAAGTATAGAAATTATATGTGTTTTTTATTATGTGGATAGATAGCCCCTCGAATGTGAACAGATAGCCCCGCATATGGAGCTATCTAGCTGTCTACGCTTGACTTGTCCACTTAAAAAATTCGCCTCTTTAAAATGTTAAAAGATCAACGAGTCTAATTATGTTTTTTTTTTTAATAGCAAGGTTGAAAAGTTATACTATTAAAATTTTAGCCAAATATCTTTAGTATATAATATTATTGTTAGATCAGAACGAAAATCGCATTCGCCTTGCACAGCAGGTTAAT